ACAAAGTGCTCGTTAAAAAATCAACAAGGATTTTTTCATGGGGAGTAGGATTCTCGTGGGCTTTCATGAAGGTCAGAATACTTGTCATGCGTCCACATCCGCTCACACTAGAACAAAGCCCTTGTCGCTAGACATCCTCATTTCATCTAAATTGGGCTGCCTCAACTGTTATTTGGGAATGTAATTTGGATTCATGTTTTTTTCTGTTCGTTTGTCAAGGCGGACGGTTGAACTCGTGTTGCCAATGGAGACATAAACGCTGGATCATCCTGGTTGCGGCGCTTTTTGAACTTTTTTGGTTCAGTGGATATAACTACGGCTACAATGCGCTGATTCCCATCTACATGAAACTGGGTGTCTTTGCTTATCAATGCAGCCCGACAGAGCCAAACTGTCCCGCTCAAGAAGGAATGTTCCACAATGCGTTCATCGTCTGGGTTGTGGTACAGATGTGTCTTGTCACAGGAGCTGGGTTTCTCATGGATCGCGTTGGACTGCGAGTGCTGAAGCTAATTGCCGTCGGTGTCTTTTTCGTGGGCACGCTTATGTTTGCATTTACCAGCCGGGATTCAAGCGCCTTGTTCTTCGTCGCCGGAATTTTTGTCTCTTTGTCCAGCGTCTCGTCACTCATCTGCAACCACCAGATTAGTTCAATGTTCCCAAGTTCTCGTGGATTTGTGGTCTCTCTGCTCTCAGGCGCTTTCGACTCTAGTGGTTTTGTGACATTCCTGATTGGGAAAACGGTGCACTTGATCTCGCTGCAGAACTCATTTGTTATACTCGCCTGCTGCGCTTTGGTGTACGGAATTTGCATGAGTCTTTTCGCGCTGAAGCAATGGTCTTCGGAGATGAATCCAGAAGGAGAGCAGAAGAATGCTGAAGGTATGGGAATTCCTGAGAAGGAAGATGAGATGAAGCCGGTAAGATTTCGAATGACATGTTTCCGCTGATAAAAATTTTTGCTGGACGAATCTCTCGCCTTGTTAATGTTGGTGTCTTTTATAAATGTCCTAATTCCGCACACAACTTGGTACAACACAAAACTTGATCTAGAAGTTTGCGCATCATCCAGAGGCCACTGATGGTTCTTCAGACGAATACAATGCTGATGAGGGTT